CTTTTCAAAATGTTTTTCTTCCTTATTAGTGTCATAAACTCATAGCCGAAGTGTCACGGGTTCAAGTCTTGATGCCACTGAAGACCCATCGTGTAGAGGGGTCTTCTGTCAAGCCTAATTTTTTTCCCGTTGGTGTGGTGTGGTAGTTAGGAGAGTTGGAACTAACTCAGATGTCATCCTCGTCACTTAACCATAGTTCAAAATTACTAGGTCAGTCACCAGTAGCCCTCGTGTTGCTTTATAGTACGGCATTGATTTAACTCCCCCTCACACTCTTCAATGTTAGTATTGCATCAATGAAAAATTTCTTTGACTAGAATTGTTCCTAAAATTATGGTATCATGTTTCAAATGTATAGATAGTGTTTGTACTATAAATTTTCTTGACACAATAACAAACCTTGCTTAAAATTTTGTGTCGATTTTCAATTCGGTGTTTTTAAAATAAATTTTTAAATGCTTGATTCATTAAAAATAGAAAAAGAACCAAGGCCTTTTATAATATAATTTTGGATTTGCTTTTAACCTGAAAGCAAAAATGATAGTTTAAAATAAATATTCGTATGAAGAAATATAGATAAATATATGACTTTTCATTTATATTCGTATAACAAAATCAAAAAGAATAAAAGTAAAGAAAATACTTAGAGAAAAACTTTTCTAACATTGAAACTATTTATAACATTTTCCTTGAGCCATGAATGGAACATTTTTATAGTAATGTTGCCATCAGAGTATACGTATTGTTTCCTTTTAATGCAATTCTTTTCTTAAATCACGTGATAGGTTCATGCCTTACTGAGCTGTATTTTTTTGTATTTATAAAATGAGTTTCTTGGCATGTTTCCCCAGTGAAAAAGAAATACAAATTTGTTCTCATTTATAATATCATTATACGATACTATATCATATTGTACTATTTATGGATGAAAAATTACTACTTGCCTTTTACCCCTCGAAATAAAAATGGCTTTCAAACTTTAAGAAAGTTAAATTTAAGATCGAAATTTATTTTTTGATTCAGGAATGAGAAATCTTTTTCCTTCTGAGATAAATAAGTTGTTATACAAAACATTTCTAAGTTTTCATTCCAATAATTCTTTTCATTTGTATTGCCATTATTATAATATAAATATTTTAGAGGAAAAAATAAAACTTCGATAAAAAAATAACTGGTACAATCTCTGACCGTGGACCATGTGACCTTTTCCGCTTGCTTACATGAAAAATAGAATATTTATCTTTTCAGTCGGATTGCAATTACATTTACAAGAAGATTTCAATTAATCCAAAAATATTACATGTTACTCAAATCACAAAATTTAAATTTAAAGAATTGTTACTAAGAGCTGATAAAAATAATTTCATTGCAATGTTTATTTTGATGCCATTCAGTAATTATAAATCTGTAACTTTTCTTTCATATCATGGTTTGGAATAATACAGTTTTTATTAACATCGTTTGGCTCATAAAAACGTTAATTAATGCAATCACCAAACGATCTTTTATACAGATATTTGTATATTAGGGAACATTATTTTATATTTTTATTAACTTTATTTCCATTTCGAGTTTGGATCCTGTAATATGACATTATAGACGAACATCCTAACTTAAGCCTAAATTAATTTTAATATTGAAACATTTTTTTCCCATTTAAAGATTTCTCAATTTGCGTTCTGCAACATATTGTACGAAGATGGCTAACTTAGCGTAAATTTGTTGTCCTATTGGAACAAGTTTTCTAGTGGAAAAAAGTTTTCCCACTGTGGGTCCTGTTACAGGGTATCAGGTGAAGACAGATTAATATAAGCCTAAGTTTGTACTAATATTGGGACATATTTTTTTTGCATTTAAAAAAGTCTTTTAAATATGAATCCTGCAATATTATATAAGAGAGAGAGAGATAGAAAGAGAGAAACCAAGTAATATAAAAAATAAGTCAATTCCTACTTAGATCAACAAAGAAAATTTTTATTTTAGTTACTTTTTATCAAATAGTTATAATTAATATAAATATGTACAGTGGGCCCACAAAAGTGTTCGTACACTTGCAATTTCTTATAAAATTTATTGTTTTCGACTAATAAAAATTAATATATTGGAATTGTAATTTTTTTATGATATCTGCAACTTGTTCTTAATGGAATGACATAATTAATTTTTTTAAAAATAGCATAACTATTTTTTTAAAAAATTAGTAATCAAAAAGCTACTAAAAAATCAAGCCACAAAAGTCTTCGTACACTTAACAAAAATCTCAACTTAGCTTTAAATAGGGTATTTCTTGCTTAAGGCTACACAGTACCCTAAAAATTTCATTTTTACCGAAAAAAATTTTTTGAATGTTTTGGTGGCCCATATCATTGAGAGGCTTGTAACGAAATTTCAGATCTGTTAGCAAATTAGTTTTTAAGATATTTGAAGTTTTATGAGCTATGGTTTTGGTTTCGGTTTCCTTTTAAAGCATTTTTTCACACTTAAGTTGAATTAATTAAAAATACTTTTGAGCTTTTAGTTTGAAATAGTTATTAATTCCAATTTTCATTACTAAAATCATTTCTGCTTGATTATGTTTTGAGTTTTTTGAGTTCTCATAATTAATTAATAAAGATTAATTTCATGGCAAATTTTTGCTCTAAAAATAGTTTATATAACTTAAAAGCTTTATCATTAATTTTTTTCCTGTAGAGAAAATGTCATGGCAAATGCGTTATGGGTTTCTGTGAGAAACAATATTTCGAAGAAATGGAATATAACTGAAAATGATGTATCTAAAAATCAGTCCTCAGCTGATTCTGCAATTAGACTTCCGAATACAAGTATTCTGAATTCAAATGCTGCAGATATAACTGAATATTTCCCTGATGTATACCAAACTACATTATACTGAACATATTGTAGTACTATATTTTAGTATTTTAAAGTCGTACGACAAGAACTAAAACTTCCTAAACTGCCCCAATTTAAAATTGAAAAAAATTAAATTTTATGAGCAAACCTGACTATTTTTAGCTTAAGTTAGTATCATTATTATTTTGCACATAAATGCTTCGTGTTTCAAAACTTTTGTGAAATATTAGGTTAAGATAAAGCTGAATAAACTGACGTCTTAACAAATGCTATCAATATTATGCAAAAATATTTTTTGAATTAGAAATATAATTTTCAGTCATATTTAATAAAAATAGTGTTTTAATGTAGAATATACATTGGAAAATAACATATTAAAAAATTAGAGTTTTACGGGCATTATAAGTTTTTGTTTTATGACTTTACAAACTTTAAATGCGTTTTTCTCAGACTTTTAATTTTGAAGGTAGAATCAGCTTAATAATATAATCTAAATATAAAACATCAATTATTTTTGCTGTAACTATCTCCAAAAATTTTTTTGAAAAAGGGTACCGTGTAGCCTTAATTTAGTGCTTAGTAGGATATCTTTTAGTGTCCACAACAACTTTTAAGAATCTTGGTATAGATTTAATCATTTTTTGTAATTTCTGCATCGATTTTCCTCCATTCTTCTGTGATTAGTGTTTTTACTTCCCATTTTGTGTTTATATTTGTCATGTTTTCTATTTTTACATCAGAATCTCACCCAATATGTTCTACTGGGCTAAATAAAGTGATGGAGGAGGTGTTTTCATAATTTGGGGAGAGTTATAGAGACCCCAGTGGCGTACAATGAGAGCAGTGCACTTGGCGTCATTGCCCTGTTAAAAAATTAAGTAGTCTCCAATATCCAAATTTCGGGTGGATAATTTAAAATTTCTCTTTAAAATATTTAAATAGAGCTCATGATTCACAATACCATCAGAAAATACCAAATTACATAATTCTAAGGCCAATTTACACCCCCAAGCCAGAAAACCTTCACATCCATGCTGAAGCATGGATGTGGAGGAGTTGTTGTTCCAGATAAATTCATGGGATTAAAATCCTTATTTTTTCATTTACAAGCTATTATAGGCCCATCAGAACCAAAAATGTTGAATTATCTGTCATCCAAATCAATTCGCTGTCAATTTTGAATTTTCTGAAACTTAATCCCAAGCATCTAGTTGGATCAATGAACCATTGAGGTGGAAGTGTTCTTGCGTGGGGGTGTAAATCGGACTCAGAATTAGATAATTTGGTATTTTTTATGGTATTGTGAAGCATGAGCTCTACTTAAATATTTTAAAGAGAAATTTTAAATTACTCGCCCAAAATTTGGATGTAGGAGATTACTTAATTTGTTAACATGATAATGACGCCAAGCGCACTGCTCTCCATGTATGCCGCTGGTGTCTCTATAACTGTCCTCAAATTTTGTACCTCTTCAATCACTTTATTTAGCCCAGTAGAACAAACATATTTGGTGAGATTTTGATCCTAAGAAAAAATAAAACGTGACATATAAACACATAATGTGAAGTAAAAACAATAATCATAGAAGTATGGTCGAAAATCGATGCAGAAATTACAAAAAACTGATAAAATCTATACCAAGACTCTTAAAAGTTGTTGTGGACACTATAAAAGATATCCTACTAAGTACTAAATTAAGCAAGAATTGCAATATTTAAAGACAAGTGGAGATTTTTGTTAAGTGTACGAAGACATTTGTGGCGTAATTTTTAGTAGCTTTTTGATTATTAATTTTTGAAAAAAATAGTTATACTATTTTTAAAAAAATAATTATGTCATTCCATTAAGAACAAGTTGCAGATATCATAAAAAAATTACAATTACAATATATTAATTTTTATTGGTCGAAAACATTAAATTTTTTATGAAATCGCAAGTGTACGAACACTTTTGTGGCCCACTGTATATACATATGACAAAATCACAAATAGAAAATGATTTTCCTTGCAATTTTCCATTTCCCTTTCTATATTGGGTGTTGGACTATTTGTTTTTGTTTCTTTTTGTTACTATTTACTCATTCGTTGAGTTGAATTATTCAAATAAAATGGTATTGTAAAAAAAAGTCACATTCTCAGAAATGAGGTCATCCCAGGTGGGATTCGAACCCACGACCTTTGGGCTAGAAGTCCAATGAGCTATCTATTGTGCTACAGGGACACAACGAACGACATTCCTTTCTATATATGCTGTCGGACCATTATTTTTGTTTGTTACTATTTATTCATTTTTTTAAATTTAAATAATGAATTAATATTTGAAAAAACTGTATTAACATCAAGCGTCATCCACATCAAGTTTAAAAAATGTATTTGAACTTGATTGGATGAATAGAAAGTATTTTATTAACGATTGAAAATATGAACGAAATTTATATATATATACATATATATATATATATATATATATATATATATATATATATATTATATATATATATATATTGAGAGAATGTGAATTAATAGTAGGAATTTAAAGAAGCCTATTTTAAGCCTAAGTTTATTTTAATATTGGAACAATACTGCTGTTTAACAGAGTTCTCCCAGTATGAGTTCTGCTACATGATGTCAGGTGAAGACAACCTTAGTTAAACTTAAATTTGTTCTAATATTGGAATCATTTTCTATTTAAAAAGAATTTTTGGTGTGAGTCTGCAACAGAATATTAAACAAAAACAGGCTAACCTAAGCCTAAATTTATTCTGATGTTGGATCATTTTTCCCCCATTCAAAAAGAGTTTACTGTGTGGGTTCTGCAACAGAGTATTAGAGATTACAGGCTAACTTAGGCCTAGACTCATTTCAACCCTCTGGCCGGAACATCAATTTTTTGCCGCTCTTAGAAACATTCATCTGACAGACGAGTAAGAAAATTTTTTTGAATTTTAATACCTTAAGAACTATTTTAAATGTCCTCGTCGCTCATGAAATTGAGTAGAATTTTTAATATTTAAGTATTTATATGAGGCACACTATATTAATATATTTTTATCACAAGAATTGTGACTAATATTTTCATAAAAACTGATTAGAAGTTATTTAATTCATGTAAAAATAATTAGAAATAATAATAATACCAAAAACGAAAAAACTATATGAATGTAGATACAGATAGACGGTGATAGATAAGAAAAATCGCACATATCGGGAGTTGAAAAAAATTGCTAGGTACCACCACGTGATCATCTCACTGGGTAGAGTCCAACTCAAGATGTCAAGGCAGCCCACCCCAAAAATCACGCCACTGCGTTATCTACAGGTATCAAAGCAAATCATCCCCGTCTGAGAGACGGATGTTCTCGTCAGAGGGTTAATATTGGAAAAAAGTTTTCTACATAAAAAAGTTTGGACCTAGCAAAAAGATATTAAACAAATACAATTTTAAGATATTCCACGTGGTAAAAGAACTCGTGCGGGACGTTCCCCCCTCCCCTTCTCTGTCTCCATTTTCTTTCAATATTCATATAAAGTTTCATTATAAAAAGCCACCTGTGAAAGAAATTGTAAGAGATCTTCTTCCAAACAAACATTTGCGCTACTTAATCGTTACTTAACACGAAGAAACGTCCGATTACAAAACATCTCCATTCTTCCCTCCGCTACACATATTCGCCCCGCTCTCTGGGCCTGCCTTTTGTTGCTGTTAACTAAGACATTACCGCACAGGTATCTTTATAAATTACTGATGCGAGAACACTATTTGTTGAATCTCTTAAGTTCCATTTATCGCTTCCGATCTCTTTTATTTATTCCCCCATTATTTCGTTATTTATCATAGTTCCCGTGAATCTTTTATGAAGAAAGGATATCATTAATTTGATGAAACGAGAAAGAAGTGTGGAGGAAAAAGAAAGAAAAAAAATGTGGGTGTAGCGCTGTGAAGTAACAATAGACGAGGCTATAGAAACCAAGTGTAAAAATAATAGCGATAAGTAACAGAGAGAGAGATAAAAAAAAATTAAAAGCGTTGAGGGGAAAAAAATAAGAATAAAAAAAAGAAGCTTCATTCAGAAGTGAGAGGCACGGTTGCAGTTAGCATTGTATTTGGCACTTTCAAGAGTTAGAAGACTCGTGTTTCGAGTTGAAAAGACAGTAGGGGTGTGGAAGAAGGGGTTGTAGAAAATAAAAAATATAATAATAGTCTTAAAATAAAAAAAAGCTGGAGAATTGAAGTAGCAGCAATGAATAATAGAGGGAAAGAATAAGAAATTAAAGGGAGAAAGGGTGCGTTGTGTAGCAACGGAGAGGGGGGGCAGCAAAACAAAACAACAACAAGAAAAAATTCGACAGTAAGAAAAAAAATAAAAGAGGGCTACATAAAGGAGTAATACAATAATGAGAAATTATCCGGACTGTAGCTTCAAAAGAATTCTCCATGCGGTTCCGATGCGCTAGATGCGCCATTGTCGCCAAAAAATGTCGCCACGCTCCGTGACGGATGCCAACAAAGGAGGCTATTCAAAATTATAAACCTTGAAAACGCCAATTAAGTCAATTACGTTGCCCACAGAGTCGGGTTGGCACAGTACACTATCATTTGTAACCCATTCTCTTTTAAAAGCGGGCCTCGTGCACCCTAGATCGTATGCGAAAATCCTCTGGAGGGGGGGAGGTCTGAGAGAGTGAATAAAAACCTTGCACAGGCACAAAAAGGCCAACTTAATGAGCCAGTTAAGAACTGAAAAATAGCTACATTTTAAAGTCGGACGAAAATTTTATGTATTTCATCATTTTCAACAATGAGAAACTCCCTAGATACCCTTGCGAGATTTCACTACTGACATTTTCCCCCGCCCCCCGTTTCGTTTTTAAGTCGGTGGTTGTAGTAGTAATTATTTCATTTCGTTCTAAAAGGGGGAGAAAAACTGCATTCATGTAAAATTTTTAAGAAGAGAATTGTTCCGTTTTAAAAGAAGGAGAAAGAGAGAGAGAAAAAAATAATAAAGGGGGTGGGGGGAGGATTTCATTCATGATCACGTACCCTGAACGATTTCGTGAAAAGGAGCCGCTGAATTTTTGAAAATGACTTTTTAACCCTAATGTATGAATGGGTAAATGAAAACTCTGTAGATGATGCCTTTATTCATTGTTAGCAAGAGAAGACCTTCCATTGTTGTATAGTTTTTATGGCGCTTAGAAAATTACTTAACTTTTTGTCCCTAGACTTTGAACTCCTGTCTCTTCCCGAGGCATTTTTCTCTTTTATCTCATTCCATAACGACCTCTTGAAAAATCTTCGCTCAAGGAAAATAACGAATTAATTATTCATTCTGCTTTTTCAAAAAACTGACCCTTTTAATGAAATTGAGATTAATTTATTTCATTAATATAACAAACGCATAAAACCATTCATTCACTTCGAAAATGATTGCGCATTTTGAGGTATTTAAAGATTTATAAGAAATAAAATGCTCTTCGAACCTTTTACTTTTAATCTGAATTTTTTTTCTAATCGTTTTTGTTTGAAATCATAAAGGGTGTTTTTTTAGAGGTATAGAACTTTAAATTGCAATAAAACAACGATGTATTATTCGATTGAAATGAATTTTTTTTATTCGAAAGATAATCTTGTGGCATTACATTTTAAATATGATTTCTGGCATAGAACTGCCACGGCTGGCTCGGATGTAGTCCAATCTGGACGTCCAATTTTCGATGACTTTTTCCAACATTTGTGGCCGTATATCGGCAATAACACGGCGAAAGTTGTCTTCCAAATGGTCAAGCGTTTGTGGCTTATCCGCATAGACCAATGACATTACATAGCCCCATAGAAAATAGTCTAGCGGTGTTAAATCACAAGATCTTGGAGGCCAATTCACAGATCCAAAACGTGAAATTAGGCGGTCACCAAACGTGTCTTTCAATAAATCGATTGTGGCACGAGCTGTATGACATGTTGCGCCGTCTTGTTCGAACCACAGCTCCTGGACATCATGATTGTTCAATTCAGGAATGAAAAAGGTAGTAATCATGGCTCTATACCCATCACCATTGACTGTAACGTTGTGGCCTTCATCGTTTTTGAAGAAGTACGGACCAATGATTCCACCAGCCCATAAAGCGCACCAAACAGTCAGTTTTTCTGGATGTAACGGTGTTTCGACATACACTTGTAGATTAGCTTCACTCCAAATGCTGCAGTTTTGTTTGTTGACGTAGCCATTCAACCAGAAGTGCGCTTCATTGCTCAACAAAATTCGCTTATGAAAATCGGGAACAACGTCAATCTCGTTTTGGGCCCATTCGACGAATCTACGCCTTGCTTGATGATCGTTTTGATGAATTGCCAAACCAAACTGAGAATAAATCACTTGACAGCTGTTCAATCGGTTGCCATCTTGGAAAGTAATGCCAGCTTAAACTTCTATACCTGAAAAAAAAACACTCTTTATATGGTTTCATGTAGTTTTCATTAAGTAAATTAATTAAAATACTTGTTGATGATGATGACGTCGTGTTCATGATGGAACCAAATCAGATAGTACCATGGACCCAAATGACTGTTCTGAATATCAGTTCAGTATTATCTACATCAGCGCTTCTCAAACTGTGGGGCGCGTCCTCTTAGGGGAACGTGATAACCCCAAGAGAGGGGCGTGAGCATACTAAAAAGTGGAAAACAAAAGATTTTTTTTTAAAAATTGTTATTTTATTAAAAGCAAACAAAAAGGTACATTCTGATATAATAAAAAAACTTCTACACTGATATAATACACCTATAAATGTATCAGTACTGCACAATGTATTTTATCATTAATTTAACAGTACTAACTCAAGAACAAGCTTAATAATTAACAGTGACCTCACGGGCTTGTGCTTTGTAAAATTATATACAAAATGTAATACTTGATAGTTTTTTTTGTACGGTTTATAATTTATCCCTAAACTGACGAATCAAAGTTACGCAATTCGCTCCCCAATGCCACCGTTTTGCACGTGTAAGTGGCGTATGGGGGAGAAAGGGAATAACTAAGAAGATCCTCTGAATTAAGTACATCCTTTGCAAACACTGTCAAGGTCCCTTTATTGCATTCTAAAGCTTTTGAATAATATTATGGATACAGTAAACAGTAAAGATCGTATTTTTAAAGACCAGGATATATATATATATCTATATATATATATCCTGGGCAATTAATGCTTTGGCTGAGCGAAGCG